CAGCTGCAGCAGGAGATGAAACAGCAGCAAGACCTGCTGCTGCTGCAGCAGAAGCAGCAGCAGCAGCAGAAGGTTCACGTGGTGCTGTATCTGATAATCCGGAAGCTGACAGCAGCCACCACTGCAGCAGCAACTGCAGCAACCACTGCAACAGCAGCAGCAAATGCATAATGGGCAGCAGCAGCGGCTGCTGCTGCATGTGCTGCAGCGGAGCACATTTCGGGTGTACAGACACCTCAGCAGGGGAGGATGCACAAGAAGGAGGCACAGCCTTAACCCCATCAGCCTCCCCCAGCAGCAGCAGCAGCAGCAGCAGCACTGACAGCAGCAGCAGCAGCAGCAGCAGCAGTGGTTCATCATGTAAGACAGCAGCATTTGCTGCTGTCCCTGAGGCAAGACGTCTGTTGTCTCTTTTGTCTCCTCGTCCTAAGAAAGAGAGAAGGAGACACCCTAATGTAGCAATAAGATGGTGTATAAATGGAGACTGTCCCCTTTCCTTACCAGAGGAGCTTCGTTGGAAGGCCCTTAACAGCAGCAGCAGCAGCAGCAACAGCAGCAGCAGCAGCAGCAGCAGCAACTGTAATATAGTACTTCTTGATGATTTGCTGCTTTTTTTAGATAGCCGCTGGGATCGATTCGGCCCGCCGATCCCACCCGAGCCGCTGCTGGCCCTTCGTGTTGCAGAGATGACGGAGGAATTAGAGCAGCAGCAGCAGCAGCAGCAGCAAATGCGCATGCAGCAGCAGCAGCAGCAACAGCAGCAGCAACTCATGTTACAACAACAAAAAAATATCCAATTGCAATTACAACAACAACATATCCAGGAACAACAGGAACAACAGCAGCAGCAACAACTGCAGCAGCAGCAGCAGCAACTGCAGCAACTGCAGCAGCAGCAGCAGCAGCAGCAGGCGGGGGAGCAGAAGTACTACTTAGATGATAACCCCATGACAGATAACCGCGTCAGGCGCTACAGACTCGCCATACCCGAGACCTCCTGCGGCACAACAGCAGCAGCAGCAGCAACAGCAGCAACAACAGCAGCAGCAGCAACAGCAGCAGCTACAACAGCAGCAGTCCCTGCAGAAGCAGCAGCTGTACCTGCAGCAGCAGCGTCTCCTGTTGCTAAACGCGGGGGTGATATTCACCGTATAATTTAAAAACTTTAGCTGCTGCAGCAGTAACAGCAGCAGCAGCAGCAGCAGGAGCAGCAGCAGCAGCAGCAGCGGCAGCAGTAGCTGCAGGGTTGTGCCACCCATCCATCGTCTCTTCTGCAGTATAAAGAGGAGACAGCTCTTGCTGCTGTTTGTCCCTCGTTAGCAATTTTTGTGCTGCTGTTGCATTGTCTCCTGCTGCTGAGGGTAACCCAGTGCAGCAGCAGCTGCAGCAGCAGCAGCAGTCTGCTGCTGCAACGGCTGCTGCAGTTGCTGCAGGGTTTGTGGGGCGGAGGATAGGATCGAGTCTCTTACGAGGGCACTGTACGTGCCGTGGAGACCGTGGGAGACAAGCAGCAGCGGCAGCAGCTGCAGCAGCAGCAGCTGCAGCAGCAGAGGCAGCTGCAACAGCAGCAGCTGTAGTAGCAGCAGCAGCAGCAGCAGCTGTAGTAGCAGCAGCAGCCTGCTGCTGCTGCTGTTTGGGCCGGCCCCCCAAAGCAGGAGGCGTAAGCAAAGCATGTATTGAGGCAACAGCAGCAGCAACTGCTACAGCATCAACTGCTGCAGCAGCAGCAGTTGCTGCAGCAGCAGCAGCTGCTGCAGCAGCAGCAGCAGCTGTCTGTGCAGCAGCTGTCTATGCAGCTGTGTAAGTATAACTGTTGTTGCAGTTGTGGCAGCAGCTATTGCTGCTGCTGCTGCTGTTGTGCAGCAGCAGCTGCTGTAACCGAGACCTGTAGCCTCGAGCGGCAGCTGCAGCAGCATCTGCAGCAGCAAGCATCTGCTGCAGCATAGCAGCAGCAACAGCAGCAACAGCAGCAGCAGCAGCAGCAGCAGGAAGTATATGTTTAGTGTCTCCTGTGGTTATATTGAGTTAATTTTCTTTAGGTGGCAGCAATAATTAATAATTGTCTCCTTTTTTTTAATTAAGGAGACAATTAATTAATTAATTAATTAATTAATTAATTTAATTAATTAATTAATTAATTAATTAATTAAATAGTATTTATTATTAATAAAAAAAAAAAAAAGGAGACAGTCTCCTTTTGCCTTCTTTATTTATCTGTTAGTTGTTTTAATATATAAAAAAAGACAAAGGGCTATTTATTTATTTATTTAGGCAAAAGGACTAAAAAAATACATATATATACTTATTTATACTATTATATTCTGCTGCAGCAGCAGCTTTGTATCTGCTGCTGCTGCTGCTGCTGCTGCTGCTTCTTGCTGCTGCATATAGATACTTATATATATAGAGTATCTATATGTATATGCATAATTATTAATATGTATATACACTTTATTATATTTTATACCCTCAAATTACCCTTGGGGGCCCCACATGAGTACTTATGCGACCCTAGCGGCCGCCATGGGGGCCCCAGAAGTTGGGGCCCCTATTGGTCTGGCCGCCTGAGAGGGGGGCCCCCAAGGGTGACCTCACGAGCATCCCATAAGGGGGATCGCAGGAGGGCAGCAGATGAGGGTTCATTAACTAGGGGCCCCCAGTAAGGTGGGCCGCCCTTTAGGATGGCTCCCAGGAAGGGGGCCCACAGGCGAGGGGCCCCCAGTAGTGGGGTCCCCTACCGTAGGGGCCCCCAGTAAGTGGGGCCCCACCAGGGGTCAGCTTAGCGACTTTCCTCAGGAAATTTTTTTAATTTTTTTATATTTAATTAAATTAAATTACTTATTTATATTTAATTTAAATAATTAATTTTATTTTATTTAGTCTCCTAATTAAATATTTATCTCCTTCTGCTGGTACTGTTTGCTGCCTATTGCTGCTACTCTCCTGTTGTGGTTGCCATGGGGCCCCCATGCAGGGGGGTGTGCACGTATAATTTGCCTATATTATATTTAAATTTATATATAAATACATAAATAATAAATATAAATAAATAAAAATAATAAATAACTAAATAATATTTAATTTATATGCCATTTAATTAATGTCTTCTTTTCTCTTTCCCTGTTATAGATAGGGAGAAAAGAAAGGTGGGGGGCCCTCGGAGGCCCTCTTCCCTTATTAGATATTTAATTCCCTCTTTAGTTTAATTGCTGCCAGCAGCAGCAGACACACAAAAACAATGTCTTGCTGCAGTGTTTGCTGCATGCATTTAGCCTGCATGCAGCAGCAGCCCCAATGCATGCATGCATGCGTGCATGGGCTACTGCAGCACAATCCAATGAAAAGAGAGACTACCTGCTACGAGCATATAGCTGCTGCATGCAGCCCCATCGTGCATGCATGCAAGCATGCATGCATGCATGCAAGGATAATTATAATGAATAAGTAGAAGAGTCTTCTTTCTGTCTAAATGAATCGATAGTTGGATAGCAGTCATTGTAGCAGCAGCACGGGCAGAATCTGCTGCTGCTGCTGCTGCAGTTGCTGCTGCTGCTCTTTTTCTTGTCAGTATATAGTAGCAACAGCAGCAGCTACTGCTCCATCGCAGTTGCTGTTGCTGCTATAAAACAGTAGCACCTGTAGCAGCAGCAGGAGCAGCAGCACCAGCTGCTGCTGCTGCTGCTGCTGCTGCTATATAATTTATATATATAGTATAATAGGTCTATCTGTGTATTATAAGCAATGGAGTTGGGGTGTATAGGCAGCTCGGGTATCCGAGCAAACGAATTAATAGAATTAAGCAGCAAAAGAATATTTTCTTTATTTCCTTCTTTTTTTATTGATTTAAGTAATTATCCGCATGCATTAGAGAATGGGGCTTTATGTGGGGTCTGTTGCTGCAGCAGCGCATGCATTGCTGCTGCTGCTACCAATGATTATAATAATTCTTCTTCTCTTATTACCTGTTATAATACCATTAATAATACAGCTGCTGCTGCTGCTGCTGCTGCAGTTAATAAGCAACAATTAGATCTATTAGCAGCAAATATAAAAAAAAAAAAAATTAATAAATATAATTATATTATTAATCTTTCCTTTAATCTTATTCATGATGAAGATATTCTCTCCTTATTGCATGCAATTAAATCTAATGATATTGTTACTGGTAAGAATAAATAAATAAATAAATAAATAAATTAATTAATTAATTAATTAATTAATTAATTAATTATTTTATTTATTTATTTATTCTCTCCTTATTGCATGCAATTAAATCTAATGATATTGTTACGGGTAAGAAAATAAATGAATAAATAAATAGATTAATTAATTAATTAATTAATTAATTATTTTATTTATTTATTCTCTCCTTATTGCATGCAATTATTCTCTCCTTACTGCATGCAATTAACTCTAATGATATTGTTACTGGTAAGAATAATTAATTATGCATAATTAATTAATTAATTAATTAATTAATTAATTAATTAATTAATTAATTAATTAATTAATTAATTAGGTGTGTATATATAAATGTGTCTCCTTTTTATGTTATATATATTTACAGGTTTATTATTAAGAGACACATTAATAGGAGACAGAAGTTTGTCTCTTTTTATTTCTCTCTTATTTACTCGTCCTTCTTTTCTTTATTTAGATCTAGCTAATACTTATTTAACAGAGGAAGCTGTTATACAACTTTGTCAAGTAAATATACACAATTAATTTGCTAGCTAGCTAGCTAGCTAGCTAGCTAGCTGCGTAGATGGCTAGCTGGGTAGGTAGCTAGTTGGGTAGCTAGCTGGGTAGGTAGATACGGTGCTGGGTAGGTAGCGAGCTGCATAGGTAGCTAGCTAAGTAGATAGCTAGCTAGCTAGCTAGCTATTGTTATATAATAATATAAATATAAATATAAGTATAAATATAAATATAAATATAAATATAAATATAAATATAAATATAAGTATAAATATAAAAGTAAATTATATATATATATATAT